CAGGTGCCGTCTCCCGCGGCCGCTGCGCAACGGGACAGGCGGGGGCAGAGCCGAGCAGGGAGCCGAGCTGGCGAGCGGAAAGCAGAGCAGCAGAGCAGGACTCGGGGCGGGAGTGGCGCTGGGGAAGGACGAGGGCTGGTTCGTGGCGCCCCTCGGATAGGTTGGCCCCGCTGCTCTCGTGCCTTCTGGCAGCTGGGGACGAGCTGGGAGCAAAACCGGCGCGACCTTCTCGTGTGTTGTCGCTCATTCAAAGCGCGGGGTCTTCTTTCCTTCCAGTCCCATCTTCTGTCTGGTGAAGATCGTTGACATCCTGGAGCAGTTCCTGCGGGAGGGAGGCCTGTCGGCGCTGATGTGGGAGGTCTGCCAGCAGCAGGCGCAGGCTGCCTCCCCCGAGCTACAAGAGACCCTGCTCAACAAAGTTGTGTGTCTCCCTGATCACTTGAGCAACAAGCTGCAGGGGGAAAACTTGCCAATATTCCTCCCACAAAACTATTTCCCCTTGCTGGGTACTGAGATCATCCAGGTGCTGCAGAGGATCTCTGACTCGCTGAGGGGTGAGTTTGCAGAGTGGCTGCTCTGTGCACAAGAAGTAACCAAGGAAGTGTCCTGGTTATTAGCCTTTACTTGTCTCTCGTGCATCTTTTTCCAAATGTGTGTGTCTAAACACTGCTCATAGTTTGCACTGTCCTGTATGTTGCCTCCCACAAATGCTCCTTAGAAGGTAAGGAAACAACATGAGAATAGTTCAAGAGTTTGTGGGGTTTGTTATCTATCAGTGCTTAGAGCTAACATTTCTCAGTGCCTGTAGTTTTGTTTGTGAGCTTGTTTTGTTGAAATGGTACCTGGCAGTCCCTTGCTGTTCAGGGCAGAAATTCTGTGAAAAAAGTAGGGCTGGAAGGGACCTCCAGAGGCTATCTATCTGCCCCTGCCTATCCAAACCATCCTGTACAAATCCGTTTTCTAACCTATCTGCAAAAAACCAAAGTTGACCCTCTCACAATCCCTAACCTGCCTCACCACGGTGGCCAGTGTCCTGTTCTCAAACACCTCCATTGATGGAAAGAGTCACGGCTTCCCTAGGCAGTCTGCTCCACTGCCTCACTGCTCTGACAGTGAACAAGAGTTTCCTGGTATCTAATCTAAACCTACTTTGCTGCAACTTCAAGTCATTCATCTGCATCTGACTCTGCGATGAGAGGAAAGGTGTTTTCCCTCTTCTTTATGGCAGTCTTTCAGGTATTTGAAAACTGCTATTATGTCCCCTCTTATGTGCCCTTTCCACAAGATGAACATGCCTAGCTCCTTCAGTCTCTCCTTGTATGATTTGTCTTCCAAGCCCTTACCTTTCTAGCATGCAAAGCAGTTGTTGATTTCCAGGTTCCAAAATCTAGAGAGATGTGTGCACCTGTACCTGTGTCTGTGTCTGAAACTGTTCTGGGGAGAAATGGGTGTGGCATTTTGTTTCATTAAACTTGGGTTTGTTTTGTTTTGTTTCCTACCCCAGGTGGTTTAGACTGTTCCATCTCCTTTGTGTCTCAGGTGCTGGGGAAGGTATGCGTGCATGGGAGACGAAGTGAGTGCCTTACAATGATTTTGGAGGGATGCTGAAGGATCTGATCTTTATTGAACTGCAACATTAAGGCAGTCTGATTTTAAATAGGATGGTCAAAGGGAGGGTCAAGAGTTGGAGTAGATCGATTCATAACCTCAGATACTGCCAATGTTCAGTTGACACCATTTGCTTGACTATCTGAGGTTGCCTAGCCTCATGTTTGCTACATGTATCTGTTGTCATGGCTGCTGAGAGTATGGTTCAGGAAGAATACTAGTCTTGAAGGTGCCCTGTTGTAAAATATGAATAATAGCACTTCCCCTGTGCCTTCCAGCTAGGTTCTGAAAGTACAGGGCAAACACCAATAAATTAAAAATCACATCCCCTCACCAACAGGGTTGATGTGATGAGACTTCTCTCTGGCTTCACTTAGTATTTTGAAGCAAGTGAGGCCTGCTTTCTACATGCAATAGTATGTAATGGGCTGGAGAAGTTAAGGGAAATGTTCCAATCTGCTGCTATAAAGATGGGTTTCAGCAAGGAAACCTGGAAACAAGGCAAACTGCCTTTGTGAAGAATTACGTATCATCAATACTGAATAATTGGGGTGGAGGGGAACTATTGTTTTCTTTCTTGTAGCACTTTCCCTGTGTGAATCACCCTTGTGAACTCTTCTGCCAGGTCTTTCCCACCAGTGAGCTGTCTCTTGTTCTCTCCTGTTACAGAGGAAATTCTGAGCACGTTGGTGCCCTGCCTGACTGATCTTACTAAGTCTGACTGCATCTGGCAGAGGATGTGCTGGCGACTGGTTGAGTGCGTGCCTGACCGCTGGATGGAAGCAGTGGTCTGTGGCTTTGTTCAGACAGCACCAGGGTAAGAAATCAAGATTTGGGAAGTGGGGGAGAGGCAGGTACTGCTTTGTTTGCACCACTAGATTTTTTTTTTTTTTCCCTTGAAAATTCTTGACCTGTGCTCTCCACCTCTTCCCAGGCTGCCTCATACTGAGAAAGGTTGGGATAAGATTAGCTGGAAGGTCCTCCATAGCCAGTGTAGATTTAACTTTGAGCAGCTTTCCACTATTCATTGTAGCCAATTATTTGCTTCTGTATGTACAGTCAGCACTTCATGAAAGCTGCTCAACAGATCCTTAAATTAGGATTTTGTTGCAAATAATCCTACTGTAATGCATTGACTGAAGTAGAGAAGTGGATTCTGGATACCTTTGTACTGACCTGTTTTGCTAGGGCGGATGTCTTATCTCGCTTGCTGGGGAACCTGGTTGTGAAAAACAAGAAGGCTCAGTTTGTGGTGACACAGAAGCTGCTGCTCTTGCAGTACAGCTGTCCGGTAAGAGTTCTGTCCTGTCAGTGAGATGAGGGGGTAAATTATATTCTTTTGGGAAGGCCAGTGTTTCTCAAACATCTAAATCAACATGAGCTCAGGTCTCTACCCATAAGTAAAAGCTACCTCTTTATTCTTAAATTTTGCCCTGGTTCCTCACCCCTCCACAAACATAGGGAACTTAATTGAAGATTACTGTACTTCTCCCTCAATAAAGGGGAGCAAGAGGTCCCTGTCAAGCATTGGGCTTATATTCTACTTTGTGGGTATGCCTCTGGTGACCAGCAGAGATGTCACCTTTGCTTCTGGGGACCAAGAGGATATTTGCTTGCGTCTTAAACAGCATGGAAAGCTAGAGGCTGTGGTTCAATGTAGAATACAGGGCAGTTGTTCTCAACCTTTTTAGACTTAAGGCACCCCTGGGTAGACTTGAGACACCCCTCAGAACATGCCAGCTTTTAACTTTTCACTCTTTTTTTGACTACAGAAAGATAATAAAGGAGTCTTTCTCTTGCAAGGAACTCAGATCACAACTATGGATTTCGGTTTGAAATCTCTGGGTTCATCTTGTGGATCATGTTTGAAAAGCTAATGCTGCTATCATTGTGTGACGCCCTTCAGCATCCTTGAAAGGATCTCAAGATGCCCCAGGATGTGGTGGTACCCCGGTTGAGAACCTCATCCCCTAGATTAGTGATTAAGAGCAACTGTGATCCAGTCCTCATATGCCCTTGAGATGAGGAGGAGTACCTTGGAGGATGCCTGAGTGTGAATTGGAGTGGCTTCCATCCTTCTTGGAGGATGGAGAAGACTGAGGCAAAATTAAAATAGGGCAGTGTCTGAGTTGTAGAATGCAGAATATAAAGCCCATGTTCTGCCTTACCTTGCAGAGGATGTAGAGCAGATGTTCCCAGATTTTTTTCTTATTGCATACCCCTTCCCAGATTTACCAGCTGCCTGCTTACCCCTACCAGCATATTTGATCATTTTAACCTCTTAAGAGCCAATTATTATTATAATGAAAATTTAATCTGCCGTTACACAACTTCTCCCATGTACCCCCCAGAGATGTCTTGCATACTCCCAGGGGTATGTGTACCACAGTTTGGGAACCCTTGATGTAGAGCATTAAATAGTTGAGAGGGAAGGCCTTCATCTAAGGGAAAGATTCATTTTTCTGACCTGCCACTGCTTGTAGTAAAAGTAACACTTTGATAGACTTGCTGAAAATGGATTGGTTTAGTGGCGTTTTCAGTAAAATAAACCCCTCTTGGCAGCGGAAGACACTGTTGAATCTGTGGGCTTTCAAATAGCATGAGAGTTTCAATACCCAGACAAATAACACGTTAACCCTTATATTTCATCTGGAACTGAATTTCTTAGTGCATAGTCTCTGAAAAGTTCATTTGAATCGCTTAGAATGAGGAGTCAAGTATATTTTATTGTGTCAAAGGCCTTGCTAGGTAATGAACCCTCAGTAAAACAACATCTGTGACTTTTGTTGTAGACGGCGATGTTGCAGAATCTCCTTGGATATCTGGCCCTAGACAACAGCCGACGTTTCCTACTGCTAAAAGTAAGTTCAATAGCTGGAGTGGTGGAAATCTTACCACTGATCACCTCGCTGCTCTGCTGTTTAATACTACAGTGCTGTTTGGAGTGATAACTATGGCATTCTGTGTGAATGTAGTAACAGTAGCACCACTCCTATTGGTCCTGGGCAGCTCTGTATGGCGTCATTCAAAGTCTGTCAGAGCAGTCCTTTCACAAGAATTCCTACTCTTCTCTCTCACTTCTCAAAAGGTAAAAAAGGAGAGGATGAAGCAAAGAAAAGGAGGATAGAAAAAGGAGGAAAAATGGCTTGGAGGAGAGGGAGGTGTTGCCATCGCATTTTAGACAGGCCTGTGATTTCCTCAGGACTTCTAATGATACCTTGTGTGTGACATTCTCACTTTGTGAGTCATTAAGCTCAAAACTCTCCTGCTAATCGCATCAGTCCTATTAATCCCATTTTACAGATGGAGGGAAAATGAAGCAGAGAGGTGACTTATGGTAACTGAATTGGAAAGGAACCCAGGAGTCCTGACACTTGATCTTGATCTCTGCCTCTAAGTATATCCTTACACTTTCAAGGACATAGTAACAGACAGAAGGAAACCACCAAATTAAAGGCTAACATTTACTTTACTATTTGTTCAAGCCCTTATTTCTGTCTCTCTCCCTTTCAGTCCATAGTGTGAGTTTCTTTAAAAATGTTCTCCTTTTGACTGTAGAAAATCCATTAAAACCAGTGGCACTCTTCTTTACAAAGGATTGCAAAGAAGGGTGAGGAGCATTTCAGAGGGTGAGAAGCTTCTCCATAGAAGAAGCCTAAGCACATTAGAAATTAGAATTTAACATACCCATCAATAACTTGAGGCTTTTAGCAGTTGACTATATTACTTTCATATTTAATTAAGAATATCTTCTACTGATAGTGAATTTTCAGTCAGTCATACTGGAGTGCTATTGATGCTTAATATTGCCACAGAATTGGCTCTAGCTCTCCTTGCAGTATACTTGTAGGCTAGTAGAATCCTTAATATGTCATTGCAATCCTTTTATTGCCCAACTTGGTATCCCAGTAGGATAATCTGACTGTGAAGCATAAGGGATTGTCTCGGATTCCAATTCTGCTGAATGAAGGGTAGAGTTGTCCTTTGGTGATGTGGCTGAATAAGTATGTGCGAGTAAGAGAGAGTGAATGGCATGCTGCTGACCCGGGTCATCTAGCTAATAATGAACTTGTGGCCTAGGTTCTGCAAGAACTCATGGAGACTTGGGCCAGCAGCAGTGCAGTGAAACACTCACCAGTTGAGCAGCAGCTGTACATTAGCAAGGCCATCCTGATCTGCCTTTCCCACCTGAAGGATGTTGAAATAGACAGCCACAGACAAGGTGAGAGTTATGGAAAGGAGCTATTCTAAGCCTTTGTCGTTGAAGCCTTGGGCCCTAAATATTGTCCTCAGTGTCTTGGGGCCTGAGTGTAGAAGCATGCCCCTCTACCCCAGGGGCGGGCAATTATTTTGGGCAGAGGGCCCCTTACGAGTTTTGGCAAGCCATTGATGGCCACGTGACAGGCAGCCAGGGGCAGATAAATATTAATTTTCTTAATTTTTTAGGGGCCCTGCAGGCCGGATAGAATGGCTTGACGGGCCGCATCTTGCCCACCCCTGCCTAACCACTTGAGTTCCTGGTTGAATTTATGGGGTTAGTCACATGAATCAAGTTACAGTATACCTCCAGTGCTTTTTTCTTATTGATAAATTGACATAATCTCCATCCACACAAGTGTGAACATCTGTTTCCCTGGGGACAAGAAGCAGTGGCACACCTTGTGCCACTGCTACTTGTCACCAGGAAATGCCTGATTCACGCGCCCTCTGGCGTGCGGCAGGTTATCCTGGGTGGAATAGGCGAGATTGGGTCAGTAAGGGGAGCTGCAAATGCAGTGATCTTGCTGCCTGATGCCTGGCCAGCAGCCGGAGTGTGGCTCTGGCCAGCCAGGCTCTGGTTTTGGGCAGCGCGCACTGCCCCCATGTGCTCCACCCTGCTTTTTTTGCACAGGTGTTTTGGGGTTTTTTTGGCCCAGGGTCAAAAAGCCCCCATACTGCTACCTTGCAGTGTGGGGAAGACCTGAATATGCAGTGACGTCAATTGGTTTGTGGCACCGCATACTACACAGGTGCACTTGTCTGGATGCAGCCTTAGGCTCCACCACCCGGCATGACATTTGAAGCCCAGTGTCTTCTGCCTCACGACCATCCTTGTTTCTCTTCCGTATCTCGGAGATTAGGGCCTTTTTTTTACCTTTATTCTTCAAGGAGTTTGTTCCTAATTCTATACATCTTTGCAATTTGGCTTTATCAGAATACAGGAGAGATGCCCACTTGTGACGCTTTCACAGACATTAGCAAGCAGGGCAGCCTGCTGGGATCGTCTGATTCATTTGTCTCTCCCTACAGATCAGCATGTGACTACTATGCAGTCACAGTCAAGCTGTCCCACCAAAGCAAAGATTTTTATCTGTCTCCTCTTCTACATGCATCTATTTGGGATATGGTCCAAGCTTTTCTTGCCCCTGTAATTCACCAAACTGATATTTACAGTTTGCCTGATCCTGTTAGGAACAAACATTCCTCCTTTGTGGGAGCTCCTTGCATTGATGTGACACCTACCCCATTGAGCTTTACAAATTGGTCCCGCATATCAATGTAAGAGGTTGTTACAACTCCTAGCTTTCATGGGTGTAAGTTGCTGCATTCCCTAAAACTACCATTTGCCAGGGGAATTAGGATACTGCCACTCTGAGTGATTTACCTGACTGAGATTTAGTTCTAAGAGGGAAAGTAATAGAATTCTATGCTTTTATGAAATCTCTCATCTACAGTTTTCATATCGCAAGCTTTTAAGCCTCTTTAAAAATAAAGTGAATGTGTACATTTACTTACAAGGTCGTGTTTGTTTTTTTAATGAGCCTGTGTGGCTCAGCCCAGCACTGGAAAATCAAAAGATGATATCCTAACTTTAGTATGTGAGAACTTGCGATACAGAATAATTTCAAGATAAAGCTTTGGAGCAGCTGTGAGGAAAATGCATCCCGTGGGCCAGATCTAGCCTGCCAAGGGATTTTATCTGGTCTGCAGCAGGTCCCTTGGCCCTGCCTAGCCCAAGTGTGGGTGACAGTCCAAGTCATGGCATGTACAGCCAGTCCCACCCCACTGCCTGGGAACCCCAGCCTGTCTTTCCCACACCCATCACCAGGGGTGCCTGATGTAGCGAGTGAATGAGGTTTCCATGGAGACTGGTTCAGGATCCCCGCAGGCAGGGCACATTCAGCTGGGTGGATGAGCAGTGTCTAGGTGCAGGATGGGTAGGTGGGTCAGGGGCCAGGGCTGGGATCATAGGGCAGTGGCAGTGTGGGGCCGGGGCCTGGGACAGAGCCACAGTTTGCTCTTTGCATGTCCCTGCAGTAGGTACCAGTTGCTGTTCTCAAGGACACCACAGACAGGTCTCAAGTGCAGCCACAGAGGGCTATTCTTGCCTCCCCCCTTTTGTATGCATCTGTGTGTTGTCTCTTGTCTTACCCTAAGATTGTGAGCTCTTGTTCTGGGCTTGTGCAGTGTCTGGGATCCTGGCCCATGTTTGGGGCTTGTGGGTGCAGCCACAATAAAAAGTATCTATGCACTTTCAAGGAGTCTTAGTGAGAGTTAGTTGGTTTTAAGCACTGTCCAAAATAGGGTAGTATGCAAGTGATGAAGCCAAGGAATTACATTATCCAGTAATTAATTTGCCCTGTGTTCTTTATTATATCTTGGTAAATTGTTTACTAAAGAAAAATATGTTCCAAGTCCTGGGATACATCTGTATTATTCATGGGCTTCACTGCTTAACTCTGCATGGTCTTTTCCTGTATGAGGGTTGGGGTGGGAGGGAAAGCAACTTTTCCATGAGGAGAGGGTATGCTGCTGTAGTAAGCCCTCGCTGTCTGTTTGCATCCTTTGCCCTTGTCTGCCTGCTGTTTGGGTGATGCTAAAGATGTGCCTGCTCATCAGGAGCTGGCATGTGAGGATGCTTTGTCCATAGTGTTATGCTTTGTCCTTCTAGAGCTGTTCACATGCATGATGGAAGGGATGAAATGCCACCTGGATAGCAATTTACCACGCATTCGGTGTCTGGGAATGATTGTGGCAGAGAGCATCAGTTCCAGGATAAATACTGATGGGCCGATCCTGAAATTCCAGGTGAGATTAAAACAAAGTCTGCCCCTGCTGCCCAGGAGAGGCACAATCAAGGTGTTTGCTGTGGGTGCTGGCCTCTGCTTTCTAGCCTGGAGGAGGTATATCAACATCTTGTCAAAAAGAGAGGATATCAGTTAACAAAATGGAGTGGGGTATGGGCAGAATCCAGAACTCTGTGGTCTGACAACAGGGGTCAGGGTAGCTAGTGTGTAAAATAAAACTGCTCCTGGATTACCACCTTGCAGAGACATGTGGCATCCAATTGAGCTTCCACTGAAGTCAAGGAAAAACTTTCCCATTTAGTTCAGTGGGAGTTGATTAGACTCATAAACCAGGTGAGCATGCAATAAGGGGGTAAGTATGTGTGTGCCTAGTTGCAAATTGATATTTTGATGGCTGACTTGAGGATATAACTCCAGTCCCCATTAATTTTAGTGCCAGCTGTGTGGATAAATATTTTACTTCCCCTGGAAAATCTCAGCTGCAGTGCTGCATTATTACTCGCTTTTATTGAATGATTTGAAGCTCATGTATCACACAGACAAAGTCCAATGAGGCAATACTATTAACAGTTGAATCCACTAGATTGCATATAGCTTAAATTGTAAATCTGCACAGGCATTTATTGTTTGATCCTTCTGCTATGTAAAAGTAGCAGCCTATTTCTGGGAGGTACTGAGCAGCCACAACTTGTATCATCTTCACCTGATATACTACCAATATATTGTGGCTATTCCATATAATAGCCTCCTCAGTGTGCATCTTATTCTGAACATCTAGTATGAAGAAGATGATGAGACCAGAGAGCTTAAGTCCCTCCTGACACAGATGTTGTCACCACCGTCTGTCATCAGTCCTCTGGATGAAGGGTAAGATCTTCCTCAGCTTCTTGTCTCTCAGAACCTTAAACACATGAGCGCAAGCAGCAGACATTATTATTAAAGGTGATCAAATTGAGGCATAAATCTTATGCATTTTTTTATCATCTTGATGGATGGTAAACTTCAAGCAGGTGATCCTCACCCTGAAGGCCCATCTTTGTTGTTAGAAAGGTCTGGGGTGAATTGCTTAATATTTTGCAATGCTATGTGTTGCAGCTGGTTCTCTCTCTGCAGCCATCGTATCTCTAGTTCATAGTTCAGTTAGACACAATGTACTAGGGTTTCTTACCCTAATTGGGTAATAATAATTCTGGGTCCCCCTATCTTAAATCATACAGATCAGTGGTGCTCAACTTCCATCTTACAAGTCTGGAAATTTGGCAGAAGGGGAGTGGTAGCAACATTAATTGTTCCCAGAGCCACAGCAGTTAATGTTGTCACTGCTTCCTTGCCACCAAATTTCTGAACCCGTGTGGAGCTCCGCAGTCTGGATGACATGGCTCTGCATGGCAGATCATGCTCGCACGCAGTCAGTCTGGCAGGATCCAGCACCTGGGGTTGTGCTGACATGCTGGATCACATCTTTGGACTGACCCTGTGATTGGGATCCAGCCTGAAGAATGGCACTGCACCAGTCATCTAGCCCATGGGGCTGGAGAGGTTGAGCACCACTGATACAGATCTAGTAAGCATGTCTGCAGGATCTTTTGTTACCTCCAGGTGGTCTGGTAACACTGTCCCCAACCCATCCATTTTCAGTTAAAATCTAGTGTGAATTTCTGCCTAGAAAGTGTAAGTAAAGTACTTTGACCTTCCATGGCATCTGCCTGAAGACATTAGAAAGTGAAGCCTCCAGCACTCCAAGTAAGGAAGTATTATTTTTTTCCATTTTATAGGTAGCAACTGAGAAACTAAGGTAAAATGACTGCCCAATATCACACAGCAAACTGTTGTTCGTGTAAGGTGTATGTATTTCGGAGAGTCAGGGTGCTAGAGATGCTTTGCATGCCCTGAGATGTCCATGTGTCTGCCTTTAAGACACATTTATTTTAGATTCAGTCTCCTGCTCTAATCTTGAACTTTTTTAGGAACTAAAGACAGTTTAGGTGGGATCTGGTGAAAGTGCATATATAGCTTTCAGGACTGCTCTTCTTCCTTGGACCTTCCTTACCAGCATCTTCCTAAGTGAACCAAGGCTGAAATGAGTCTGTTGTCTCTCCTAGCTAGTGGGAACAGGAGGTGTGTTTGGTGGAGGGGCTTTGCTTTGGAAAATTCAGTCTCCTGTTTATGGTCAGGAGGTACCTGAGACCTTTGTTACTCACCTTGTACCTCTGACCTTTCTCATTGCTCACAGTAGGAAGGACAGTCCATCTGCCGTGACAGAAGCTGAACTGAAACCTGGTAGGAAACCACTTGCAGCAGCCTGTGCAGTGTCAGAGGAGGGGTCAGACTCAGAGCTGGACAGGTACGTGCTGGAAGTGAACTGCTGGGGAAAGAATGGGTTCAAAGAAGGGAATAAATGATTGGTCCGGGAGAGGGCTGTTTGAAGGCCATCTGTTTTGCAAGAGTCTGTGCCCAGTAACCTGAACAGAGGAGCAAGCCCTGTTGTATTCAGCAGAGTAGGATTGTTTAAAGTATTTTAAGGGTTCATTATCACATGAGTTTGTGTAATAGTCTTGTCTGGCTTATTGCATTCATTTCATTTGGCTCATTTAGCAGTCTGTTTCTCTGCACATGGTCGTAATTCCATGGCATGCTTCAGGCCTAATGTGCTTGTTGTTTAAGTAGCCTTGCGTGGTATTGCTGGATGTGCTGTGTTCTTTCAAGTTTGGTGGATACTATACTGGTGCTCTTGGCTAGCTGAGCCTCCTAAATTAGTGCACAATTATGTGGAAGTTAATCTGAGATGGTGCAGTTCCCTGTTCAGGCTAGCTTGGATTCATAGCTAGTTGATTGCTGATCTTGGTACTCGTCTACATCACAAGGGTACTGTGAGACCAACATATTTCTTTTGTAATGCACATGAGATTTCTCTTTGGAAGATGCGGTCTTGCTGCAATGCGCATGTTCAAAGTTGCCTCCAAATTTTCCATTGCTAAGAAAATAGATATGGAAGAAAAAATAGTGGTATATTCCTACTGGTATGGAATCAGTCCCTTTCACAGAGTGAATCATGGGCTCCTTAAGCAGATCGTGTGGTTCAGTTTTGTAGTGTTTCATATTCTTTAGCTTTACTTAGTAAGCACCAGCTGTCTGTGCCACCAGAGAAATTCCAGTTTACAGGTTTCCCTTTGAGTATCCACGCTTCAGAGAAGTGGGTGGTACAGTTGGAAAATACCTGCCACAGCCCCTTTTCCTCCAGCCCTACTGGTTCTGCCAACCACGGGAACTTTCAGGAACCTAATCCCTGTGGTTGGCAAGGGAAACCTGTACTCACAGGTTTTGCAGGAGCCTGTTTTCGACCAGTTTTGTCAAAGCCTTCTAGGTAAAGGGTGTTTCCAATGGGTTTTTTTCCCATTGAAAAACAATATTCTTCAGAGCCTGATGTGCTGATCTGTCACACAGGGCTGCTGGAATGGATATGGATATTAACAAATTAAGTGCATACCTGTGAAGCAGGCAAATATTACCCATCCCCACTTTAGAAGCGGGGCACCCTGAGCTGTGGTTTGAGGAAGTAACTTGCTAAATAGTTGTTGGTGATGCAGGATCACCGGACTCCTTCCTGCACTTAACAGCTAAGTACAGACATTCAAAAAGCCTGATCCTGAATGGATTTATAGTTTCATAGTTGGTAGGGTCGAAAGGGACCTGAGCAGATCATCAAGTCCGAGCCCTTGCCATGGTAGGAAAGAGCGCTGGG